CACCAAAAAATAAAAATAAGATAAAAATAAAAATAATACCTAATGAAAAAAAAATAAAGTTCTTCTCCAAGCCTTCCTTGATAATATTATGCATCCAAAATGGCGCCACTAACCTGAACTCTGTGAATCACATTTTTTTCAGGATGACTCGTCTAGCCTACGCCCCGCCCCCGTATCCCTCCACATTCTCGCCGATGAGCCTACGCGACAATACGCCGATTCCGATGGGACATTACGGTAGGTTTAGAAATGATTTTGGGAGTTGTTCCCCAATGGCCTCTGCTAGCCTGCCCTGGGCTCAGTAATTAAATCACAAATTTAAATTTAAAATTTAATTGAAAATGTTATAGGAGTTACAAAAGTTAGAACAGTTCGCCACCCCCCCCTACTGCAAAAGTACCTCATTCCCAAATGAACTCTGACAGCCAGCCTGGACTCTAAAATAAGTGCACAAGGATATGAAGCGGCTCTACATTACAAATACAGTAATGTTTCCGATTTTTTTAAACTATTTGAAACACCCAATTTTGCAGCGTCGTTAATCGATAGCGCCTCTGCCCCCGTTCCTCCGCAATGCTCTTTGCTAGCCTGTCCCTTACGACTATTATTCGAAAGCAAACATCTACCTATTAAATCGATCAAATTTGTGCTGTATTTTTAACAATTTATGAAACATTTAATTTTTAGGTGGAGGCCCTCACTTCCACATCGCCCACCCGGGCAGCCCGTACATTCACGGTGCCCCGGAGGTGTACTCCATCGGCGAGCAGTTCAGGTAAAAATACCGTTAAAATTTTTATTCACAGCTTTTAGTAATCTTTATTAACATTCAACTAATTTTAGTCATTTTAAACGTACAGGTACAGGAAATCGCGAATTTAGCTAATAAAATAATAAAATTTATAAAATTGATTAGAAACGTCCAAATAGGCATCTTTTAGTCGCGCGTCCATTAACACGGCTTCGACGAGCAGCGGAAGCAGTGGATCCGGACGGAATTGGAGGAGGAACCAGAATCAGGTAAAACAGTCAAAATTTTGGAATCAATAACTGAGCCATTTTTTGTTTTTTTTTTTTGAACAAAAAGTGAAACACCGTTTTTCCGAAGTTCAGAAATTAAATTGATTGAGCTAAAATTGCTACGCAAAAGATTTTCTAACTCTAAAAGAAAGTTGAAACAATTTTTTCTAAAATCCAACATTTTTATCTCTGTTTGATAGGTTTAATTCCTAAAAAATATATGTTTTAGCCCCCGGACACCTACCCGGCACCCCATCTCCCACCGTACCTCCCGCCCCAAATCTCGATCCGGCGCATCCCACGCCCATTCTCCGTACACACCGACGCCTTCGTACCCCACGAAAAACAAGTGCCCATTCAGGCACATCGATTTTCTGGCATCTACCATGAACGATATTAATTTTGTACATTGACGATACCTGCCTTGTGATTTTTTAACGATTTAATGGGCCGAACTTCGAATAAAATGATATAAAACAAACCCCTTGTTTGAAAGTACAGAAAAAAGGTTCTGGACGGTTAGCGGGGGGGGGGGGGGGCGATTTTTAGCGGGCGAGTTAGGTTTTAGGTGAGAGTTAGGTGTATGCAAATTCCACTTAAATCAACTAGTAACATTTAGCAAAATGTTCAAAAAAAAGCACCGTGAATTAGATGTTTTTTGAAATCCCAAACTATCGAGTAAAAGAGGCTAGAAAAATACAGCCAGGGCGGCAGAGCTAATTTAATTTCGGAAGCGAATAGAAGTGGCAAGCTAGCCGAGATTGTTTGGGGAATTCCTGGGAGCCGAAGAAACATTTTGCTCCGGAATTTTCATGTTTTATCGATCTCTCCAAAGAAGATTTATCAGAAAATTTTAATTTAGTTTCAGTGCGATGGTATCTGCTAATTAAATTCCGTCGAAAATCCATGTTTCAAAATATCAAAAATGTAAAAATTCACGAAAATATGGTGTATGCTATAAATTTCGGAAAATACATGTACCAAAAAATTCTAAAAAGCCAGAGTTGCTAGTGCATTATTATTGCCATCCAGATACAACCATTTACAAAAAATTTACATAATTCTAGTTACAAATTATTATCCTAGAACTTGCATAAATTGAGGAAACGCATATTTTGCATAGATTCTGTCGTATATTACCCATCTCCGCCAGGTAATCCACCATTTACTACCGTACCCCTTGCGCACGCAGCGCACGTTTTTTTTGTGTCTGTGCTAACCGAAAAATGCGGCTTTCTACTTCGCTAATCTTTCTAACCAGCCTGGTCGCGGCGGCCGTTTTTGGTGGGTTTATATGCAAATTTAGGGCTTATGGAGATTTTGGATCAGAGCGATACAAAATACCGAGCGAAACATGGATTAATTTATAAAACTGAAAAAAATTTGTTTTCTACCGTATTTTCGCAAGAATTGCCTCAAATATTCACATTTAAAAATTGTTTCGGTTTAAAAATCTTTAAAAATTTTCGGACCGATTTAAGATGTGTTCTCAGCAACGCAATAGGTTTCAGTTTTTCACCGAAATACCAAGAATTGATGAAACGAAATTTTTTGTAGCGTTATGATAGCCAGATTTTAATGAATTTAAGGTTTTATTAATTAAATACCATTCAAAACCGTTTTTAAAACCAAATAGCAATAATTTATTAAAGCTTTGTTCGGGAATTCTCTTTTTTAAAAGTATAATTTGGTATAATTTTAATATAGAATATATTTTAATATAATTAACTGACAAAATATTTCGCTAGCAAAGCGCTTTTGAAAACGAAATAGCCAGAATTATGAAACATCTTAACGTCAAAAGTTTTTATAAGTAAATGGAATCGATTTGGCTTATTTAATGATTTAATTGTCCCGGCTTAATTTAATTTCTATTAACGTATTTAATTTATTTAATTTATCACTTAATTCCAGGCCAGACATTCGACGACAAGCCCGACCCCGACCTCCTCGAAGTCGTCGAGGAATTCCTGCGGGACTCCCACGGTCAGTGGGGCCATCTGCTGTTTGGCGCAGTCGGCAAGCGACTCGGCTAATCAACTAGGGGCCAGGGTTCGATCCCGTACGCCGAATTTTTTGTCTTTTTTGTCTTAGGACTTGAAATTTTTAAATTAAGATTTTTTTAGTTGCCGACGGCTTGATGAAGGCGTATCCATCAGAGGCGCCCTCAGCTGCTCCCTCAGCTGCTCCCTCAGCTGCTCCCTCAGCTGCTCCCTCTGATGCTCCATCAGCTGCTCCATCTGCTGCTCCCTCAGCCGCTCCATCGGCTGCTCCATCGGCTGCTCCATCGGCTGCTCCGTCGGCTGCTCCGTCTGATGCTCCATCGGCTGCTCCATCAGCTGCTCCATCCGCTGCTCCTTCCTCAACACCCGCGACGCCTAAGCTCCCACCGGCCAAGTGTGATGAAGGTGAGCAACAGGGCTAGCAGGGATTGTTAGGGAATTTTTCGGCCTTTTTAAAATGGCTTTTTCTTTTCTTTCTCGTTTTTTTTTCTTCTAAATAAATTGATATGAGCTTTTGCGTTATCGGGGGGGGGGGGGTCAGAGGTGCAAGAAGGCTAGCAGAGATCCTTGGGGAATTTCTCGGCTCTAAAATTCTCCCAACGCTTTATTTTTTTTTGCGAAAAACGCTGCTAGCCTGTCCGGCCCATTTTAATTTGTCTTCAATTTTGTATTGATTTTAGGGCTTCAAGTGGAACCGGAGAAGCTGGCCGTGAACATGTTCAAGCCAGGAGGGGAAGGCATCTGTCCCGAATGGGGCATTCGTTGTATTTCCGGAATGGGATTCTGTTCGCCTGTCATCCGGAAGCTGCATCCGGTAAGGCTAGCAGAGATTGTTGAGGAAGAGGAGAGGGCAGGCTAGCAGAGATTGTTGAGGAAGAGGAGAGGGCAGGCTAGCAGAGATTGTTGAGGAAGAGGAAAGGGCAGGCTAGCAGAGATTGTTGAGGAAGAGGAAAGGGCAGGCTAGCAGAGGTTGTTGAGGAAGAGGAAAGGGCAGGCTAGCAGAGATTGTTGAGGAAGAGGAGAGGGCAGGCCAACAGTAATTTTTATAAGTTTTATGGGTACTTGCGTATTCCCGGGGGGAATTCGCGGGGGAAACTTTTTTTGTTCTATTCAGTATATAGTGTATAGATAGTATATAATGTATAGAGTGTAAAGTGTTTTCATATTGTTTTTAGCAAAATTTAAGCCTATTTGACCCGGAAAAACTTTTTAAAAATTAAGAAAAACGCCTGAAAAAGTCGAAAATTTGGTCATTTTTGGTCGAAAAAAATTAATTTTTCGACCTAAAATTAATTTTTTTTATTAAATTTTGTAAAGTTTTATGCTTAGGAATAGCTATAAACAGTTTAGAAACAATTCCAATATTTATATAAAAAATTTAGGCTTGGGCCGAAAAAAGTTCGGTTTCCCCCCGGGAATACGCAAGTACCGTTTTATGTTTTTTTACAGCAAAAAGTGCAAGTCATGTTCGCGTTGTGCATGAACGAAGACAAGGATCTGCAGGGTCATTTGACCAGCGCCTCCCTGAAGCGTCGCGATGACCGGACGGCCCCCTGCAATCATCTCAAGGCGGTCAGACAGTTTTCCCAAATGATCTTTGCTAGTCTGCAGATGTTTTAAAGGGCCATTGAAGGCTAAAGAAACCATTTTTACAAATTAACCAAATCTTTTCAGCGCTACCTCGAGCTGTGCAAGACGAAGGCGTTCGGGGAGAAATCCTTCTGCGCTTACTACGATAACCGCATGCTGGCCCGGTAATCGATGACTTACGCGTCCCTTTAAAAGTCTCTTCCTCTCGCCTGTGCTTACCGCCCCGGACTAGCTGATGTTGTTGTTCAGCTACTTGGGCCCGTTGCTGATGGCCCTGGGGGTGACGATGATCGCCGTCTCGATCACGCACTGTGTTCTGCGCGGGCGCCGACGCGCCGAAGAGGCCGCCGCCTTCGATGCGATCACCCCCGCCGCCAGCAATGTTCTATGGTGGGGGAAGCTTGAAATACCTGTCACCATCCCTTTAAACAGATTTTACACTTTACTGTACCTTTAAAAAGGGCTTAAACATGGCGTGGCCGCGAAAATTTAATGTTTTAAGGACATAATTGGTTCCAAAAACTATTTTAAAGGCAGTGGGTCAGCTACAAAAAAATATTTTAAAGGTGTTGTGAAGCCAGAAATAGTTTAAAAACAGTGAGACAGCTACAAAAAAATTAGTTTAAAGCGATCATAAAGTCAAAAATAGATTTTCAAGGCTGCGAGCTCGCTGTAAAAATTATTTTTAAAGTATTTGCAAGCCAGAATTGGCTTTAAAGGCCGCGAAATATCTACAAAAATTATTTTAAAAGCACTGTAAAGCCAAGGGTTTTTCGCGAGGAGCTGCTGGCGTTTTGAAGTGATTCACGACGCTAATTTTAATTTTAATTATTTTAAAAATAAAGACTTCATTTTATAAATATTGAAAGAATCATTTCAAGATTTTTCGGATCAGATTTGGCATTATTATTGGAAGAGGCTAACAAGGAATTCAGTGACACCTCCAAGTTTTTGGTTCGAATTTTTTTGAAACATTTTTTCTTAAAAAGCTGTGACAAGTGTCGTCAAATATAAGTGTTTTCAGATTCTCGAATCGACACTCGGCCCTGAAAGAAATGATCAGCCACCACTCGACCCATCCGCCGCGACTACCATTGGTGCGCAAACGGATCATCTACTGGCCCCGATCATTTCTTTGCATGCCCCTTTTTGGTGTCCTCCCACTCGCCCCACTTTGAATAAATGATTTTTGGGCCATGTCGTGTTTTCGTGGCATGCGATTTACACGCAAAAATATAATATTGACAAAATCAACTAATGAATTAAAATTACCTTAAAAATTGACGAAAAAGCGGAGAAATCGAAAAATAGATAAGTTTTATCTTTGTGGTTGCCCCTTTCTGACGCTGCGTCGCTCGCTCTCACTCACCCGCTCAGTTTCTATCTCTCTCGCGCTCTCTCTCTCTCTCTCTTTTCTCTCTCTTTTTTCTCTCTCTCTCTCTCTCTCTCTCTCTCTCTCTCTCTTTCTCTGTATCTCTCTCTCGTGCTCTCGGTATTTCCCTCTCGCTCGCTGTCTCCCAGGATCTCTCTGATTCCATCACTATCATTCTCTCTCTCTTTTCTCTATCTCTCTCTCTCTCTCTCTCTCTCTCTCTCTAATTCTCACTCTCTCGTGCTCTCGGTATTTCCCTCTCTCGCTCGCTGTCTCCCAGGATCTCTGTCATTCCATCTCTATCTCTCTCTCGCTCTCTCTCTCTCTCGGCCTCGCTGTCTCTCGCTCTCGCACTCACTCTCACACTCATTTTCTCTCTCTTTTTCTCGCTCTCTCGCAGTCTCTCTCCCTCCCTGAAAAACCCTGCCAGCCCGTTTCCTGATAAAGCATAGATTCCCATTTTCAAAAAATATGTTTCAACTAATTCCAAATTTCCGGAAATTTCGTGTTTTGGAATCGCTGTTTTCGCTGGAATCGCTTCTTTGGAATTTGGAATCTTTAAAAATGTCCCTATTTTCCATACACCAATCATAAACAATTTGCATACCGGAAATGCCCAAAATTAGCCTCCAAAATCCGGTATAAGACGAAATCCCGCGAAGACCGGAACCCTCTCACCCCCAACCCTCCCGATTTCACACCAAAAGATGCGGCTCGCCCTCCCGATAATCGCCCTGCTCGCCGTCGTCGGCCACACCGTCGCCAATTCGCCGGTTTTTGGTATGCTAATTGGGGGAATTATGCAAATTAACGCAATTTTTGCCGAAAAGTACGACGACGTCTGGGATATCCTGCACCCGCAGGAGAAGCAGCACCAAGAGAAGCCGCAGTTGGGGCAGCAGAAGCTGCCGCAGAATCAGCCGCCACAGCAGCAGCAGCACGCCCTCAAGGATGGCGGTAAGAACCGTTTAGCTCAGCTCCCTGTTAGTCTACAGGTGTGTAAAGTACCGCAAAACGTTCGCCTTGCTCTGGCGAGTATTTTGGTATACCTTACACACCTGTAGATGAACAGGGAGCCGAGATACGGTAGGCGGGTTCGGCGTGGCTTCCCCCCCCGCTAACGAACCAGCCCCTTCATTTTTTAAAGGAGTTTGGAAGACAACATGTGGTCGTCCATGTGGTGGACATCCTGAAATCTGTGTATTTCAGCGTCGGCCGCCAAGCCGGACGGCCCGGGCGCCCCTGCTGGCAACCCCGGCGCGCCCGCCGCCAAGCCTGGCGCCCCCGCTGGCAATGATGGCGGTACGAAGCTACTTGAGCTACCCTGTAAAGTGCCCGTTTCAGTGCCAGCCGCCAAGCCGGACGTTCCGGGCGCCGCTGCCGGCAAACCGGATGCCCCTGCCGGAAACCCGGCAGCTCCGGCCGCCGCGTCGGAACAGCCCCCACCGGCCAACCCGCCATCCGCGGCCCCGCCGCCCGCGGCCCCGCCCACTGCGGCAACACAGCCTACCGCGGCACCACCGCCTTCCGCGGCTCCGCCGCCTGCCCCTCCGGCCGGACAGCCAACCCAGCCGCCGCCCGCGCCGCCGCCCCAGCCGCCAGCCACCCAGCCGACGGTACTGCACTGTTAGCGGGGGGGGTCACTTTCTGTTTTTCCACCTACCCGTTGGTCTTATATTTTGTATTTTATCGGGGTTTTATTAGTTTTTGCTTGCGAGAAAGTTATCAACCTATTTTTTAAAGTTTTGAAAGTTCAGAAATCTGACCGTTTTTGGTCATTTTTCATACATTTTTGACCAATTTCGAATTTTTTGTAAGGTTTTTATGTCTAAAAACTCTGTAAAAAGCTAAAATAATTGCTTATATATATTCAATATAATTATAGGGCGGTAAGAACCACAGAGAAAAATTTCTTCCCCCCCCCCCCCTAAAAGACCTGTACCTAGACGCCGCCAACGACACCACCCACGACGACGACCACCACGGAGGCCCCGACGACTGCCGTGACTGAGCCCCCGACCACTAAACCACAACCGTCACCACCCTGCGGGAGTCAGCAAATTTTTCACGGATCTTTTGCAATATCGGGGGGGCGCAACTTTTCGGCCATACCTCCTATTAATGTGTGGAGTAGCTCAAAATGTTGGCCGTCGTCGATTTACTATAAAAAAGTTGTTTCCTTACATAAAAAAAATGTTAGGAATTTTTTATAACAAAAGTCTGGGGTTTTCTTGAGTTAATTTTTGCTGTTCCAAAGTGAGTTTTCGTATCTCGGCTATCTTTTGACGTACCGTGCTGTCAATGGTATCAAAATGTAGCTCTTGCTCTGTAGAATCAGAATACGTTTGAAACGAAAAAATAGCGGAAAATAAGAATATTTGAGTTTTAGACAAAAGCAGAAGAACTGAAGCACAGCGGCTTATTCTTTTCAACTTTCAAAACCTTGTAAAAAATTTTTTTAACAATTTTTGGTGCAGGTAAACAACTTTTTTAGAGGTTTTCGACCACGGCGAACATTTTCAGATACTCGGCGCATTAATATGTATGCTGAAAAGTTGCGGGTATCTGAATTTGGAATTGGCAAACCCAGCACCAGTACCATTATCCTTCAGCCGAGATCATGTTCCCGCCGGGCATGGGCGCAGGCAACCAAGAGCCGACGAAGGACGAGTTGACAAAGATCTTCGGGGGGCTGTACTGCGCTGAATGGTACAATTGCCTCTTCGGGACGAAGGACGGATGCGCCGCCGTTGTCGGGCAACTCCATCCGGTACGCGCCACTTTCAGGGAATTGGTTTGGGCAGCACTTCCATATCTTCACTATTTTCTCGGGATTTTTGTAATGCCAGTCGATAGAGCATCGGAAATTCGACTAAAAGTTTTTGTTGTAGCTCAAATTTTTGTAATATAAAAAAATTAGAGCTGACACAAAAATCACTCTTGAAACTGGGGGAAGCATGTTATTTTTCGTGATTTTCGTGATATTTTCGATTATTTGAAGCCACCATTCGATAGAGCATCAAAAACTATACTAAGCGTTTTAATTTCATCTCAAAATAGCGCAATATAAAATAGTTATAGCGAAAACAAGGTTTGTACTGTCTTTTAAACATTAGGTGAAAAGCTAGTTTCAATATTTTACAAAATTTGCTAAACGTCATTCGAAAGAGCGTGAAAAAATATACAAAGGCCTATAATTTCAACTCCGAATAGCGTATTATAAAACAGTTATTGCAAAACGAAGTATCGTACCACACTATTTTTTCTAGGACAAGCTCTTCCTCGCCTACGGTACCTGCCTCAAGAACAATGGCCCCGATGACCTGAAGGCCGCCTGCCCCGCCCTTGCCAACGTGAGCGGCTTTAAAATTCGAAAATTTGGGCGTGCTTTTGACCCATGGTCAACTGGTAAAGCTCCAGCCGGGCCAGTCGCACCACCCGGGTTCGATCCCGGGCGCCGCGCAACTTTTTGCTTTTCGCCGAAAAGTATCATCAGAAATGAATTTTGCAGGAGGCGACGAAGGACTGCGGCAAAAAGGCCGACAAGATCAAAATGGCCGGCCTGAAGGAGAAGGTCGGCAAGCTGTGCACCTACTACGACAACAAGTCGATGTTCATGTGGGTGATACCTTACGGGATACTACACGGTTTCGTTACGATCCACTGCCGAAATGAAGTCTCTACCCTGCTTTCTTGCTATTACAAAGCTTACAAACTTTACAAATTTTTACTACTTACTTTTTGTACTTTTTAGGATCATCGGCGGTGTCCTGCTCGCCGTCGGGTTGCTGCTGATCGTGGGCGGCGTCGTGTTCTGCATGAAGGGCGGCGGCAAGAAGAAGGAGAAGAGCGTCTCCAACTCGGATCCGGAGTGGTAGGGAATTTTGGCGGGAGGAAATGCGAATTTTTGGTTTTCCGTCTATACCTACCTCTTAAAAGTAAATAGTGTATTTTTCGTATTTTTTTTTGATTGCTAGAAAGCTACAAAAATTCTCTTAAACTTTTTTAATTGTAAAATTTTGGCCTTTTAGTCTTTTTTTCTTACATTTATGACCGAAAGGTCTAAAAATTACACAAAATTTATCGGTATTTAGGAGCATTTTGTATGTAAAAACTCACTAAAAACTGTTTATGTTTTTGTATAGGACCGTACAGGATTACTGGGAAAAATTAGTCCCCCTGCTAATAGCCCAGTACCCCAAGCTCACCCCGACCTTCAATACTAACTTCCAGATCAACCCCCTCCATCGGCCCGGCTATACACGACTCCAAATGACACCACCACCACCCTCACCCAGCCTCGCCGACACCATCTCGACCGCGAGCCATCGACTCGAAACACCATCCACCCCACCCCCCGACCAACACCACCATAATCTTCTCGTCGACCAACCACCCTCCCCCATCCCCCCGGCCCCCCTCTCTGATACCGTACTTTTCCTGGCCTATCTCTGTCGGCTCCGTTTCTGCCCATCACATTTGTGCTTTCCTGTCCCCGATGGAGTAGTGTTTCCTTTTGTACTGCCCCGAATAAATGCGGTCGACGAGTGGGAAAACGAGGCGTAGAACGTGAAACAGCTTAACCAAAGCTGCTTTCCGCTCGAGTAAGGATCAGCGGTAAAAAGGACGAGAACGAGAATACGCTACAAACATCGAAAAACTACCTACTAGAAAAACATTGAAAGCAAAAAGCGTATCAATTCCGCAAGTATAAAGAGAGCACAAGAGAACAAAAAGAAATGTCTAACCAACCCAAATGTCGGCGAAAACTCGAAGTCAAAATGACGTTTTTGACTTTTCGACTTCGAACCCGTCGAGCGCCTCGAGAAGTTGTCTAGCTCGCAAAAACCGTGATGCTGAACTAAGTACCTAGGTAACTATAAACCTAGGTCAAACGCTAATAAAAGAAATACAAGTTTAGCGTGTGCCAAAAAAGTTATTTTCGCTGAAATACTAGATGTAAATTACGTCAAACCGAAAGCCACAAGCCGTGACAAGATCAGGACTGGGTTATTTTAATTTTTTTTTGTTAGGTTTCTAAAGCTATTTAGCTTTTTACAAAGTTTTTTTATTCGCCCGCGACTTTTCCGCGACGCTCCGCGACGCTCCGCTACACTCCGCTACACTCCGCTACGGTAGGGTCCCGGCACGAATGGTCGACCAGCAGCATTTCGGCTCTCTTCGATTTTTCCAGCATTTTACCTCTCGAAAAGTGCTGGTTCACGCAGGAGTACTTCGGATTCTGTTAGTTTTTCTTTTTTGTTGATTTTAGTAAAGTTAACTTTTTTGCAACCCCAAAACCGTTCATTTTTGGTGCTCGGTAAATCTAAGTCCATCAATTTTGGGCAATTCTGTTTTCCAATTCTGTCATTCATTTTCTTATTTCAGGAACGATGGCTGTGATTGCGCCAGGAACTGCTGTGATCGCCCCGGGGGCGATGTTCTCAATGACGTCGCTCTACGTGGGCGATCTACACCCCGATGTGGGCGAGAAGGATCTTTTCGACAAGTTCAGCCAAGCCGGCCATGTTGTCTCGATCCGCGTCTGCCGTGATGCCGTAACGAGGAAGTCGCTAGGCTATGCCTACGTCAACTACGAGCAATCGGATCAAGGTATGGACTATTTCTTGTTTGCACAACTTTATGCTTTCCTTTTAGCGAAACAGGCGATCGAGACAATGAACTTCGACTCCCTGCACGGCAAGCAATTCCGCATCATGTGGTCCAACCGGGACCCGTCAGCACGACGCTCGGGAGCAGGCAACACCTTCATCAAGAATTTGGACAAATCGATCGACAACAAGATCCTGTTCGACACTTTCTCGACGTTCGGTGAAATCCTGTCTTGCAAGGTATACTGACTTACATGGCTTGGTTACTTTCTGCTTTAGGTTGCATATGACGCCAACGGCGAAAGCAAAGGCTATGGGTTTGTGCATTTCCACAACGAAGAGAATGCGGTTGAAGCAATTGAAAAGGTCAACGGGATGCTGCTGGCTGACAAGCAAGTCTACGTCGCCAAATTCGTCCCGCGCGCAACAAGAATAAAGGAGATGGGGGAGAGCAAGTCGTTCAAGAATTGCTTCATCAAGAACTTCGGGACTCATCTGGACAAAGAGGGCCTCGACAAATTGTTCGAGCCGTACGGCAAGATCACGAGCTCGATTGTGATGGAAGATGCTGAGGGGAAGTCGAAGGGCTTTGGATTCGTCGCTTTCCAAGAATCTGATTCCGCTGTCAAGGTATCGTTTTTGTTTTCCTTTGTTTGAAATACTTTTTATTGGATTTCGCCTGCATTCATTCTTTCGTTCAGGCTTGCGAGGAGCTCAACGATCATCTACTGGAGGGCACCGACAAGCGGGTCGTCGTTTGCCGTGCGCAGAAGAAATGTGAACGCCAAGCCGAGCTGAAGCGCCGCTTCGATTTGCGCAAGGCTGAGCGGATCCAAGAAACGCAAGGCTCAAACCTTTACGTCAAGAATCTCGATGACACGGTCACGGACGACATTCTACGCAAGCTGTTCGAGTCATTCGGCACCGTCACTTCTTGCAAGGTATTTGATACGGCATCGAAGTTATTTTTTTGATAGGTCATGACCGACGAAAACCAGTTGTCAAAGGGTTTCGGCTTCGTCTGCTTCGAGAAACCCGAGGATGCGGAGAAGGCGCGCACCGAGATGGACCAGAAGCACGTCACCGGCAAACCCCTCTACGTGGCGATGGCCCAACGGAAGGAGGATCGTCGAGCCCAGCTCGCATCCCAATACATGTTGAGACTGGCGAACCAACGCATGGCGAGCAAGACTGGTATCCCGCAAGGCGCGTACCCGACGCCCAGTCACGCGATGTACATGAATGCCCCAATAAATGTGGGTGTTTACATGTTTTTCCGTTACTTTTTGTTTTAGGCCCCTGGCCCCGCCTTCATGACGAACACTATGCCAATGTCGGCGGCCATGATGGGTGGACATCCGCAGCGCTGGCAATCACGCCCCTACCTGCCGCCGATGCACAACATCGCGATGCATCCGAGCTACCACATGGGCGGACGCCGGCAACACAACCCGCGCCAACAGCACGGTGTGCCAGCGCGTTTCAACAACAGCCCGCAACATCAAAGTGGCAGCCGTCCTCGCAAATACGACCACCCAGACAACAACAACTTGCCGGAGCTCACCTCTACTCAACTTGCCAACGCAACGCCTGAGGTATGTTCAGGCGTTTTTCGTCTAATTAAGGCATTAATAATCAACTTTTTTAGGATCAGAAGCAGATGCTCGGCGAGATGATACACAAACGCCTGAAGATGATGTACCCTACGTGCGACCTGGGCAAGATAACGGGCATGATGCTGGAGATCGACAACGCCGAGTTGCTGCTGCTCGTCCACGACCGCCGCCTGTTCCAGCAGCGTGTCGACGAAGCCATCCAAGTCTACAACAACGTCGGCAAGAAATAAGCTCCTCGCTAGCCATGTGTCCTCCCGCTCGGCGTGTAAAATTCGTCTGAACAACCCTTTCCCCCCCAGGTCCCCCGCCCCTCTTCATTTAATTGCTTAACCGCATGAATTTGCAAATGCTTCAAACCTCTTTAATTATAAGTCTTGGCTACATTTTGCATGTTTTTGGTTTATTTATTACCCTTGACCACTCACCACTTCAAAGTGACCCCGTCCCCATTAATTTTTACTCGTGTGACATTCGATAGATAAATGTTTCGTTTTTGCGCTGTTCATTGGGTAACCGCACCAGCAAGCACTGCAAAGTTTTTATGACTTCTATTTCTTCTGCGTAACGGCTCATTCGATAATTTGAGATTCTGGACATCTCTTTCAAAAACCACTTGACGGCTAGGGTCTTTAAGTTTCTCAAAGTTCACATTTTGATAAGTGGGGGCCAAAAATGCTCAAAATCGACCCTTTGCGCGAATTTTGTCGACAACTAGTCGTTCAGCAGTTTTTGAAACGTAGGATTTGTTCCGAGTTTCAAGTTCTATCGAATGAGCTATGGCACACCGCATAATTCCATGATCACCACTTCTTGTACGTGGCTTTAAAAAGCGAAAAGTTTTATCGCTTGCAGGGCTACCTGCGCCTGGCAGGATGAGCGACGCCCGGAAGCAAACGTCTGCTGATGTTAGTTCTGACGTGATATATTGCGAACTTGTGTTTTAGGTAGGCACGTTCGGCCCGGTCTCCATTCTACAAATCATCGCGGACGCTCACGCGGAGCATGGATTGCGGCACAATAATTACAAGCGATATTGGTATGCTTTTCCCGGATCTCCAATAGTTTTCTCTGCAGGAAATACTGCCAAGACCATCTGCAACGGATGCGCCGCCGCGCAGGCATCGCCCACAAAAACAAATCGGTCAAAAGCTACAAGAGCCGATTCGAGAAGAAAGTGATCAATGACGAGAATTTCAACTCCAAGACGTAGGCTTACTTTTTGCGACTTGCAATTAACTTTTAGTTTCCTCGAAATCCTGATCTTCGAGTGCGAGCGGTTATGGGCCACTGGGATGTACGAAAAGGTAAAATATCACTTTTCACGCCTTATATGCCATTTAGGAAGTGATCAACGAAGAATCAAACTCTCGTCGGCGACACCGGATTTTTAAGAAGTTGAAGCGCACGGTCTTACGCGCTGAGAACCTTGCAAATCTTGTCGATAGATCGCCGCGGGTGGGGTTTAGTGGCGAATTCGTTTAAACTGCAAATTTAGTGCGAACCCTCCACGAAACTCGAAGCCCAAGCCTACTTGGCCTACCTCGACGGGTTCAAGAACCTCGAGCTGAAGCGCTGGGCGGAGGGATACGATAAACTAATGGTACGTTTTTGCTTTTGGCGAGTATTTTATTCCAGGTCGCTTTCACCATCTACCAGCAACTCGCCCAGGGTAACAACAATGGACCCTTGAAGAAATTGTACATTACAAGGTATAGGTTCTCTAGTAGTTTTACAAGGGAATTCCTGTTTAGATGTGAGGAGCTGCAGCCGCAACTCCGAATTTGTGCTTTCAACGCGGAAGATTCTGACAAAAAGGTGGCCAAGATCGGTGAGCTGATGGGGTTGCTGCTGAAGATTGGAGACGACGACGGCGAGAAGGCCATGCAAGAAGTGAGTGGCTTCTGGAGTAATTCTTGAATCCGGATTGTAAAATGGTTTTGTTATGGCTCTTTGGTCATAAGTTATTTTTTTCGTTTCAGACAGAAAAGCCCTGCGTTGCCAAGAAGCTACGGCAAATTCGCATTCCATTGGATCGCCGTCCTCTGGTCGACACGCTCGACGAGTGGCGCAACTTGCCGACGTTGGCTTCGTCTTTGCAATTGGTAATTTGGCCATTGCTTGACTAATTTAGTGAGTTTTAGGTAAATGTCGTTGCACAGCCGCCACGCCCATTCCCGATGCCCGGCAAGGCGACGTTCTTCGACTTGGCCCACACGCATCTTCAGGTTTCGTTATTTTAGAAATTATGAAATGGCGTACTGTTCGCACCTTCTACATGTTTTTTGCTTTGCACTAATTCTAGATGGTTAGACGCTAATAAGATCGTTTTGTCTATAAACTTTGTGGTACTGGACTTTTAGAGAGGGGATTGTAGCAGAAGGAGAACTAATCTGATTTTTGCCCCTATGCCAACCTGTTTGTAATATTTAATGTATTTTATAGTTTTACCGTTTTAGATAGCTATAAAAACATTTTACTTCAAAATTCCAAAATTTTGATCCTTGTTGCCATTTTTTCATACTTTTCTGGCCAAAAGTCTTTACAGCGAAAACAACCTCCAATTTTTTGTCTTTTTTGTGAACTTTCTGCATCTAAAAACTCTTGAAAATTGTTACTGTACGGAAAGTTAGCCCACGCAAATAGTACCGTGCGAACGGTGCAGGATTTGCTAATTTTCGTTGTTTTCATCATTTTCAAAGGGTTTTTCAGATGCCCGACGTCTCCTCTCGCCTCTCTGATCTCGAAGCAGGCGCCAAGAAGCCGGAAGCGCCCCAGCCGGCCGCCGCTCCGAAAGCCCAAACCGGAGGGTGGTTTTGGCGCAAATAGAACTGTGATGATGATGATGTGTATTAGCGTTGAATGTGTGTGATTTCTTTGTTTTTCTTGTTGAAAGCGTTCGATAAAGTTTTTAATGGTTTCCTTGGATTATGGTCATTCGGCTCGTGATTGTGAGGGCTCACGAAGCGTTTCCCTCCAAAATTCCTGTAAAATCGCCTATTCTATTCCAGGAAACGACCGACTTACAAATCGGATTACTGCGGTGCAGAGTACGCGTTTTCCGGTCCACGCGCCGTTTCAAGGGTTCACGTGAATGGATTGTGGCCAAGTGTACTACGTAGTTGCCCGGAAGTTGGAGCACCGTGTCCTGTTTTAGAAGTTAGTTTGAAGCGGAAAACGACTTATTCGTAGCTTAAAACTTCGTAGGTATGCGGTAGGCTAGTGATATGGATGGAAATATTTTGATTGGTCGTTGTTTTACTAAATAGTTTGGTTTGCTAAATGATTTTTAAATAGGCGGAGGCGTGCGCTGTGAAACGCAAGAAAAATGTCGTAACTTGGATTTTTTTCGGGCAAAAGCGTCTTTAGTAACTATGTTTCAGCAAGAAAACTATCAAAAAAGGTTTAAAGAAATTCGAGATTTTGGTAAAAAAATCGGTCGTTGTTCCAAAAATCTATAGCTTTTATAGATTTTAATAAAGGTTTACAAAGTTTTTACTTCTAGGAATAGGAAAACCAAATTTTGTTCCCCCGACACTGCGAAAGAACCCGAGTTTTGAGTTTAGATCGGGTTTTGACATTCGAACTTTTCTTCCCCGTCCCTACCTCAAATTTCTAAAGTTTCCCGAATTCATGTGTGTGCACCCGCGGTCAGATTATAGCCTGTTGCGTGGTGTGATCACAAATGGTCGTGCTCTGTTCCGGAGCAGTGTTGCTCCCCTCGGATGCCCCCGGTAAATTTGACCTCTTCGAATTGATCACTGGCCATTGCGGCCGAGTTTAAAGGGCCCGGCAAGTCGGGAAATGGATTTTGATGGCTATGGGTTGGCTTTAGATTTTGCCGAGACGGGCAAAGCACACGTTTAGAAAAAGCGTGTTCCGTTTTTGTCTTGGGCTTTGTTAGAATTTTTAGGCAAAAATCACGTCATGAAAAAGTTGTCGAAAAACCCGGACCCCGGCAGGCTAGCAGAGAAACCCTGTGGAAAATTTAGGAGCCTTAAAACAAAGAATTTAGGTTTTAAAAAAGAAAAGTGTTTCATTGCATTGGCAGTTTAGTTCGGTACCCGCCAGAATAATTGCATTGGCTTCTAGCCAAAGGACTGGTCTCCTGCGCAGTTTAGCAGTTTAAAAATCAAAATAGTGACGGGCCTGGGCTATCAGGCCAGCTAGAATGGACCATTTGCGCAAAAAGCAGATGAAGAAAATTATCGGCGGACTAAAAAAAAATATGTATCAAATAGTTTAAAGGAGTCCAACGAGTTTTCCAAGCTAATGTGTTTAGCCTCGGCCTCATTTTTTACCAAAAAACTGTTTTAAATTAAGCGTTCAAACACCCTTAAATTAATTTAGCTCTTTATCGTTTTGAATAGTTTAATTCGTGAAAAATATTGGTCAAAATAAGGACGTTTTCGATTTTTCGGCCCCTTTCCTGGAGATTTTACGATAGAATTTGATGTTTTTAGGCGTTTGTAAATAGTTTCGGCGCGTACGTCACGTTGCAGTCAACAAGCAAGTCTGGATATTTTCAATTTCAGCAGCTAGGGGACGGCTGCGTAACCAAATAATACGCACCGGCCACAAGCGCGTCACGGCCAGGTGGACATCGACGGCCAGGGATCAAAAAAAACCTTTGAAACGCTGTGTTTGTGGCAAATATAAAAATAAACATTAAAAAATGCTAAAATTTAAAACATGAATACAAATTAAGCTAAAGTCAACGGTGAGACAATGTAATATTGATTGATATGCTGAATTATACTTTCGGAAAAATAAGAAAACGAAAAATGTTCTAGTTTTTGCATGAAAGCATTATTTGTTAGATTACACAAATTGATTAGCTTAATTGTAATTTTGCAAACGAATAGAAAATATCTTTTGACCCGAAACAATTCCGTTTTTAAGCGCATTAGATTTGAAATCATAACACTTATGATAGCCAGGATTAAATTATGCACAAAGTGCATATAAAGCTAAATTAAGGTTTTTTAGCCTATTCTGCAGGTAGAACTTTCGTGCGCCAATCCAAGATCTCGGCTTGATTTTGACTCTATCAACATGTAAAACATATTATTGCGCGGCTGCCAGAATTATCTGAGAAATCGAATTTTGAGCAAATGTTTCAACTAATCGCCAATACCATGATAATTTCCAGGTATTATTGTTCGGTATTCGCCCCTTCATCATTTCCTCCATCCGATCATTTGAAAAAATAAGATTCTTTATTACAACAGTCGTGAGGTTTTGATCTTTTAAAATCTCTCCTTTGATTTCAGTTATTAATTGATTATTTAAAAATTAAAAATTCATCTTTTCACTTTTTAAAAAACTTTACGGACCGCTTGCGATATCTAAATAACATTTTATGCTTAATTTTGACTCCCCAACCATTTTAAAACATGTTCTTAATTGGTTAAATTTCAGAATAACCTTTGCTCGAGTTTCTAGAATCTAGGGGCGCCCCCATATATTTTTCGTTTTTGCATTTTTTTTTGATGGGATCACATATCGGAGGTCCGGGGGCGACGGGGAGGACATTATCGGGGGGCCCATCGCCGTCATAACATTTTTCCCGGCGAGAGAGAGAGAGCGAGAGAGAGAGAGAGAGAGAAACCATTCACTTTACGGTCGTCCATAGTCCGTCCAAGTGGACGGCACTCCGATTTTTGCGGAGCCCCTGAGATATTTTTATTGTATAAAATCCGGTGGCCCTAAAGTGTGCCATTTTGTGGAAAATATCGAGGGGCAAAGAACGAATAGAATATAGCTGTTGCTCACCCCGGAAATTTAGACGTTTTAAAGGGAGTATGACAGGAAGAATGGAGATAAACTCCTCTCTCTCCCTCTCTCTCCCTCTCTCTCTCCCACTAACCGGAACCTCAGGTCAGCGAGCAGAAACGTTTGCGGAAATCAACTGAATTTTTCAGGGCTGACTAGCAGAGATTTGCGTTTTACTAAAATTTAACTATTTTTCAAGTGTAAAAATTATCTAAAGAAAAAGAAAAAAGTAAAACCGGATTATAAGAAAAAAATTTGGATCCCCTGACTACCCCCCCCCCCGCTAATGAAAAAGAACCGCCTGAAGCCGTCAGAGATTTTGCGGGTTGGCTAGCAGGAACCCTTTAAAAAATTTTTTGCCTCTTTTGGAGCTTTAGGCAAGCTGGCAGCGATTCTTTAGTAGAACCATTTTTCGAGTGGCAGGCTAGCTGAGATTTCCGAGGAACCTAAAAAGAACTCGGAACTGGCAAACCAGTTGGGATCTCCGGTCTTGAAAAGGGGAAGTTGTCGTGTCGTGTGCCTTTTTGTCTGTTTGTCTCCGTGTGGTTATCCCGTGGACCCGAGAATGGCAAGGGGGTTCCCCCGTCAACAACGTCTGGAGCGAGGATCCCGGAACGGACAGATAGACACACAGACACACAACAAATGAACAAATTGGACGAGAGGGAGAGGGAGAGAGAGGAGAGAGAGACAGAGAGAGAATGAGAGCGAGAGTGGGAGAGAGGGAGAGACAGACAAAGAGACAGAGAGAGAGAGAGAGAGAGAGAGAGAGAGAGAGAGACAGCTAGCTATTCCATTGTCCACCATTGTCCATTTTGTTGTGTCTGGCCCGTCCGGCTGAAAGTCTCACTTCTGCAAAATATTTTTATTAATTTTTTTTGTTTGCGCAAACAGACACAGCGACAAATAGACGTACCAAGAGAGAACCCGCGATAATTAAATGATTTCCGGACTTTTCCAGGCTGTCCGAAATCCGAGTTATAAAAATTGATGTTTCTAAAACAGTTTAGATAAAAAAAATTTCTAAACGGCTAATAGGTGGACTGATGGCGGAGCGCAAAATTAATAAGTGAACCATTGAAGGGATGGGCAAGGTTATTTCTAAGAAACAGAAAAAAGAATAAGGATTAGACATAAGAATTAGAAAAGAAAAAGAATATCTCTATTCCTTATTCGAAGAAGTAAACTTGTGTGTTGTCAAAGGTAATTCCTTTTCATTCAAGTGAATGCTGCAACCTTTTTAAGTGCTATAATTTGCCTGAATGGGTAGAGAGGTGATGAGAATAGAATAGGCGCCTGATAGAGGGGTTTACTGCTCGAAAAAGGGAAATATGTTTCAGAGTTCCTTAATTAGAATGTATTTCTGGGAGGAAGGAGGAGGGGCTGTGCAGCCGTGTCTGATAGATTAAAAGCTCACGCGTTTTCTAAAAAAATTATCAAATCAAATAATTAAAGAAAAGACAAACCCCCGTTCCGCAAATTTCCCTATGCAACTCGCCGGATGGCCGACGCTCCGCAGCCGGCCCCACAACAAACAACTGGCACGGCCATCCGCTTTTTGGGGCCCTTTCTCTCTCTCTCTCTCTCTCTCTCTCTCTCTCTCTCTGTCTCTGTCTCTCTCGCCACCCCTTGCAGCCCGTGTCAACAATTTATTTTTGGCAACGCCGGAACTAACTCCCATCCACCCATCAACAACCACAACACTCTTTTTTAGGTTTTGGGAATTTCCTGAAAAGTCTCTGCTAGCCTGCCCTCTCCTCTTCCTCAACAATCTCTGCTAGCCTGCCCTCTCCTCTTCCTCAACAATCTCTGCTAGCCTGCCCTCTCCTCTTCCTCAACAATCTCTGCTAGCCTGCCCTCTCCTCTTCCTCAACAATCTCTGCTAGCCTGCCCTCTCCTCATCCTCAACAATCTCTGCTAGCCTACCCTCTCCTCTTCCTCAACAATCCTACCTCCCTCTCCTCTTCCTCAACAACCGCTAGCCTGCCCTCTCCTCTTCCTCAACAATCTCTGCTAGCTTGTCCTCTCCTCTTCCTCAACAATCTCGCTAG